CTGAACTAGAGTGAATCTATTTTCTCATCACTCATTCACACTGTTAATTATTTAAACAAAGAAACAGGCTTTTTTTTAAACAAGAAACAGATGACACATTCCATTCTTCCCTGTTTACACCAGTAGGAGTACTGCACACAAGTGATTAGAATTTTTTTATTCCCCCCCCCCACCAATGATCACACACACTTAACCTTTAGCCTGCAATTGCTCGGTGGCATTCATTTGACTGGGAAGACTGGAAAAATGTGCAAACAACCAAAGACTACAGCATAACAATCACAGCCTTTAAAAATAAAATTCACAAAACCAAAAGAAACGTCTGAGGAAATGACCCAGCTAACTGCTGGGAACTCTTTCCTATTGTAAAGAAAACAAATAGTTCATGAATGTGAAATCTAAACCCACGTAAAACACAAAAGCAGCAAGGAAAAAAAGCCTAACTTGAGGAATAAGACCCAGAAAAGAGCACCTCTAAACAACAACAGAGTATATTTCATGGACTTTCCTCAACTATACCAAACAAGAAATATACACCCAACAAAAACTGATGAACACCGTAAAGAGATCTGAAGTTCAAGGACCAGCAGGCTACAGAGCCTGAAGACAGGAGGATTCATTTGTACTACAGACAACCTGTCAGGTGTTTGGCTGTTCAATGAACACGGAACTTGATTTATTCTCACAAAACAAAAGGCCTTTCACACTAGTCCTCTTAATTCTTTGATGCAAAACCACAGGAATCATTCATAATGAAAGAGCAACTGGAAAAAGCATTAGATTCCCAGCTCAAGCAGCTGGAGAAGAGTACTTCACTTTCAGAAAAGTGTATCTGAATTACAGTGAAAGGACAAGAAGCTGTTTTCAGAAGTGAAGCACATCACCTTGCCCACGTCATTGGAATAAATCTTTTGAATATAAGAAAAGCACTTAGTAAAAATTTTATTTGAAACGTAGCATGAATCCATAACCATAAGTGTTGCAACATACAGTTTTACAGAGAATTTGTACAATATGACAGGTATTTCTATACATGCGCCTCCCCATTTTTATTTAGCCATTATCAAACAAACAATAGTTAAACAGGAATAATAAGCATTCACTTCTATGAAGAAAACTTTGGCATGTGTACAACTGGCTGGTTAAAAGTAAACAGTGGTAGATTCAAGTCAGAAAGAGACACATTTGTTTTGTTTCACAGCATTTTTGATCAGGATGAAACTCACCAGCACTATTTTCTAGTTAATACAAAAACAAGTACTTCTTTTCAGTCCAGAGACCCCTGTCAAGGGACAAAAACCTGTTAAGAGAGATACAAAAGAACCACCTTTTAACTCCAAAAGGTGTCAGTTTTAAAGCAATTTAGGCCAGAAGTATTTTTCATACATTAGTTTGGTCATGAACAAAACAAACCCTCTAATGGTTTGCTCGTATTACTGAACCACGTATCACTTGGCACAACTGACAGTTTCTCCTTTGCACTAGGGTAAGCACGGGTATCATTGGCTCAAGAGCTGTGTCCATTGGTGGAGCATGAGAAAAAAACTGAAGCAGAATTTGCACTGTGCCCATCTTCTGTCTTGAGTTTCTGTCACTGCTGTTGGCCACATACATACCTACCAAATTCATCCAAAAAATGAGGGAAAACAATTTGCAAGGCATTTCTTCCTGCCATATAGCAGACAATATTTCCACTTTAAAACCCAAAAAGCAATCAAAGAACCCTGATTAGTAAGTAATAACAAGCCTCCTTTGAGAAGAATTACTTGCAATTCTTCAAGTACTTACAAAAAATACAGTATTTATACAACTTCTCCAGAACTATTATAATTAACATATTTTAATGTAGTACTAATAAAATAAATCCATAGATACAAATGGTTGTACTTGTAAGCAGGAATATCTAACCCAGATTTAGATTCTGCCGCAATTTTGTTATTGCTGTGGAACAGACAGTGGTTGAGTCATCCGAGTACCAGCCGCTCTCTTACACACATTGCAGTATCCAATTTGAAACAACGTTCTCCAGCAAGTCAGAATATATTTAATGTAATTTTTACAGTTCCTGCTAAACGTTAGCGATCCCAAGTTGACTGAACCATGGTGCGACAGGGCACAAATGGCAGAAGAGCAGTGGAGTAGAGGCAGGAATGGCAGAAAAACAGTAGAGTGACACAAGTCAGACTCACGCTCACTACTTCTTATTCCTAGGCTTTAGCTCTTCTGCTGCATTTCGCAGAAAAATGTAGTTTTTCTTTTGTGGATTATAAAATTCATGACCCTAAAAAGAAAAATCATCTGTATTACTCTCTTCAAAGAAGAAATATCACCATTACCTTAAAATATAAGATTATGAATATTCCATTACTTTTTATTACAATTTAATCTTGAAGTCTTTGAGACCAGATATTGGACAACACTGGTGGATTAGAAACAGCTTACTAGAACAAGTAATCACAATTATATAAATGCATATAAATTATGTAAGTGGATAGAAAATAAAATTTAAGGGATGTTTATCCATTTTTAAGGTATAAAAAAAACTTTTCATAAAAAAATAACCACATATCTCTAAGTTCTACTTTATAGAGGCAGCATAAGACCTCAAAATGATTTTTTTTTTAAAAAAAAAGTCATTCTAGGCAGTGAAGAAACTAAAACTTAAACCAGCTGCCCAGTATCACTTTGTATCTTCTATCTTTTAAATGAAGTAAGGTCACATTTTTTTCAAAATGAAGCCCAAGTTCTACAGGCAACTGCAAGAAGAGCCGTTTCCCAACTGCAGATGCAGCTGCACCATTCTGCAGGTGGACGTTATTTGCATACACGTTACTGACTCGATACACAAGGAATCAAACCAGGCAGAGTAATCACTAGTAAAGGTACTGAGGTCCAACTCATAACTTGAGAATTACCAACTCTACTCGACAGAAATGGTTCTAAAACAAATTTAGTACCTACTGGTTTCACTACTTAATATTGATTTACAGATGTGAAAGGTACCTCGGTACAGCTCTACCACGGCAGTCCACCCAAGCACTAAGAACAGAAGAATTCACCTGCCCTAATGTCTAACGAAGTTATCTTGCTTGGGGCAGCACGCAGAAGACTAGATACAATGCAGTAAATTAAAATTTTGGCATGCAATCAAGTTCATCGGTGTGATTTCTGCATTTGTGGAAGTCAAAAACACAAGGAGTATCATCCTCAAGTGTAAAAGCTCTAGTTACCACAGGAACATAATACTTCTAATGGAAGTTGCTGTTCCATTAAAATCAGTTACATTTCAACCTTGCTACTCCCTCCTTAAACTATTGAGTCTCCATATATTATGGTTTGTTGTGATTCTCTTGCATCTGTATGATTTATTGTTGAGTCAAGTTTGGAAGAGAAATACATAAACAAGTGCTACCAGCAAGCTGCACTGAATGGTATTGGAAATAATAACAATAAACACCAGTTTAAGGGTTCACAACCACAGTCGTATCTCTTTTTTTTTAAGCTAAAAACAATCTGCAGAAGCATCACAGACATGCATTTTAAAGAGATTTGTGGGAACCTGTTAGGGTGCCACATTGCCCCCATGACATTCCCCACAGCAGACTGTGTGTGAGCAACCAGAATAGCTTCTGAATCACGTAATTTACATTTTGCTCATCTACATTTGCAAAACAGCGTTGTTTAGCAATCTCGTCCGACTGAAGCTAAAACCCAAGGAATGCCCTACTTCAGGGTCACATCCCATCAGACGGCTAAAACGCCCGTTGTAAATTCTCTTGCACGCTTGTGAGATGAGGAAGACTCAGCTCCTATTCACAAAGAACAGTGAAAGCCTCCTGTGAAAAGGATCGCCTTAGTGGTCCACTGCAGCACGAATTCCAGCCTGAACCTCTTACCTTCGACCAATCGTAACTGGACGCGTACGCAAATATATTGCCGTTGTGGTTGAAACAACAAGCAGATATCGGCTGGTCAAGTTGTTCTGAGGTTTTTAGCTTCGTTCGTGCATCTTTATCCCAAAAGCTGAATCTACCATCGGATCCTACTGTGGCAAGAGTACCATGGACAGGGTGAAACGCTATCCCATTTACCTGCGGAATCATAAAAAATACTACGTAAAGCACCACACGTGGGAACACTCACAATACATGGGCTGAATCTCGAGACAGTGAATACACAAGAAAGATTTTTTCAAGTAGACACAGTTCTTATTTTTCTAAAGTGTTTTCACACATGTTCTCTGAAAAAAAAAAACCAAAACAAAAAACCCACCAAAGCAACAAGGAAAGCATCACCTTCTTTGTAGTATCTGAAGATTCAATGCATAATCCCATCACAAACTGTATTACGTATTGCTTCAATACCAGCAAAATTAACAAGTGTCATCTCCATCAAGGAGATTCAATGAACGGCTGATCCAGTGCTTGTTTTAAGGAAGTACAAAAATCTGTCTTTCCTCTTATCATATGACTACGACTGGTCGTCAAACACACATCTAGGGCAACTTCAGGCAAGATAAAAGGCCAATAGCCAATTTTCAAAATTTCATAGCCAATTTTACATTAAGAGGGTGTATTGCCCTGTACAAACGATCTAGTGGTATATGTTGGACACTTACAGCATAGATATCCTGAGGTGCTGATGTGTTTGTTCCATTGGAGCGATGACATTTAAAAGTAAAATTATCTTTTGCACTGGGGAAAGAAAAAAAAAACAGGTTTTTAACTTTCCTCATTGTAAACTGAGCAATATAAAGAAAGGATGTTTTATTAAATGATACTTACGGATTTGGGGGGTTGATATAATGAATAGCTACTCTTCCTTCAATACTTCCAAGGGCAAATCCAGTAGGTTTGTTCACTTTGTCTTTAAAAATAGCAACACAGCGATGCTGAATTTGAGAAAGATACAGAGCATTTTAGACAGAAGCCTGAGGGCCAGATTTTCTGAATGCTGACTGTTTTCCACAGGGACACAAAACATCACATACATCAATGCAAAGTAAAGCAAACACACAAACAAGGTCAAGTAATTAAATTTCTAAATCCTTATGAAGATGAGCAACAGAGCAGCGGCAATCCACGACACGTGCCATACCAAGATAAAGTACTTTGGTTTTGAAACACTGTTTATTTTTACCCCAAAATGGCAAGCCCAGAATTTCTACAATCTGTATAAATACAATAATTTACCTGGTGTTTAAGAGGAGATTCTATTCTTCGAAATTCAGAAGGTTGATTCTCTAACTGGTACACTATCAAACCCCTTTCTGCAGTGGCCACAGCAGCCATAGGATGAACCTGGATGAGGTTGTAAAATAGGTTGGAAGAGAGACACTTGTGTTAATAATAGCATGGTAGAGAATTCTATTTACTATTTTGCAGAAATCCCTGAAGAAGTTAAAAGAATCAGACTATTTTCTGGGGTAAGAGAGGGACGGAAAGGGGAAGAGAAAGAACAAAGTTCATTTGTAGACATATCTTCAAACAAAACAAAGTTCTTCCCTGCCATTGAGAAATTAAATATACCAAACACCACCTAATTATTAGGTGATCCTTCCAATCTGAATCGCAACAGTGGCAATGCAAACTCATCCAGAAATGAGGGTAGGTCAGTCCTAGAGCCGATTTGGTTTTGTGATGTCAAAAGGATACCAAGTGTGCTCTATGGGACACAAATACCTATTTTCCAGAGCCTGATCACGATCAATTTATGTCTTATTGCTAAAAGTCACACAGAGATCAAATACTATTCTATGATTCTATACGAACAGTCAGTACTCAGTGCTAATCCACAGAAGCCTCAAAGACTGCCAGTTTATTCATGCTCCCGGTCATCTGGCTGACACCCGTTTCCCGTAGATCATGGCTTACCACATCTGCACAATAGCATCTTTCAGGGAGCTGCAACGTCATCATAGGTGTTGGTGAACGGGTATCCCAGAACTGATGGAAACAGAAAAATGAACAAACTTAAGCTTAGAATTGAGAACGCACCATTTAAATCACTTTAGTAAAGAGAACGCAATTGGTATCAAGTTGTTCCATTCTTGTCTACAGCCAGAACACTGCAGTTCTCTGATGTGAGGCTATTTCATTAATCTGTTTCTTGTACTAGCGTTTAACAGAACATTTTCATTTCACATAAATATTTTCATACACAGATTACTAGCACACATTGTGTTCATTTGTTCAGGTAAAAAAACCCCATACCTTCAAAGTCTTATCCCAGCTTCCTGTCATCACACAGCTATAATTTGGTGCTTTAATCCAATGGATAGTCTTCACAGGAGCATCATGCTGAAGAAAAAAAAAAAAAGGACAAACACGCATACATTTACTAAGATAACAGTTCAATTCTCCTGTTTATGCTTCTCATATTGTTTGTATGTATTTAACTTATCCATTCAAGAAATGGTATTCATTATTTTAGTCACAGCATTAAGGATAAATGTTGATCGTGACCTTATTGTGTTGTTTAGTGCTATAAAATCACCCATGTAAGAAATAAAATGGTTCCTGACACAAAGTACTACAATCAAGTCACCCTGTATAGGATGATGGTCACAGCAGAAATAGAAATTATGAACAGCAGCACTTCCTGTGTATTTATAAAGAATATTATCCATCATGCTAAAAATCAACACCTTAATATAGTACGTTATTTATTACAAACTAATATAAACCCCAGATTCTTCTGACAAGAGCGGCAGAAGAAAGGCCTATGTTAATTACACCAACAAGATTTTAAAATCAAGGCTGAGAATATGAATTTTATCACCTCAAATAAGATACAAAAAACAACCATTAAAAAGACTAATCCTCTCAAATTATGTAACTGGTAACTCATTTTAGAAGATACAAAAAACAACCATTAAAAAGACTAAATGTCTAAATTATGTAACTGGTAACTCATTTTATTCACCATACCTACATATTCCATGAACAGAGATTCACTTCTAAATTCAGAATGTAAATTATAATCCCCGCTATTGATGCAACAGAAAGCTGGTATTTGTGAAAGTGAATTCAATGATTTTTTAACAAAATTTTTCCCTATAATGCAGCAGAGTGACTTGGTGAGATCACAGCACCAATGGAAAGAGCTCTCTCAAGTAAAACAGAGGAAACAGCTGCTCAGGTTCTTCAAATTACTTTGATCACAGGTCTCCCTATTCATGTGCACTTCATTATCTCAAAAATATCAAAAGCACCCTGCAACCTCTTTTTCATATAGCAGTATCTAGTCCAGAAGCACTAAACACCAGCTTACTTTGCTAATAACCCTAGCTTTTAATAAAAATGGAAAAGGGAAAAAAACCACCTAATAGCTTGGGGCTTGCTTACTTACTTGTGCAATCTGAATAGCTTGATTACTGTTGAGATCCCACATTTTAGCAGTTTTATCACAGGATGCAGTAAATACTTTACTCCCATCCTAAAAAACAAGAATAAGGCCAAGAGATGAAACAGCTCTATCATGCGGTATCTGTTAGAAAACTGCCACATCTTACTCCCTTCTAGTAATAGCATAACATTAATGTAACATATACTGAGATTGTAAGACAGAAGAAACAAAAATGGAAATTTATTTAGGACTATGTCATAAAAGAGAAAACTGTGCTAGCTCTTATCTAGCTTTAGATACATTCTTCCTTTTAAACTCACATTTACCCTTCTTGCACTCATGTTAGTCCATTCAATTAGGACAGGCTTAGCATGCAAGTCTATACAACAATCATGGGCTGCATCTACATGTGGCGCTCATGTCTGTTCAGAAACCACATCCAAATTTATTTACTGTTTGGGTAAAAATTGTTCATTTATTTTCAGATAGAAACATACATCACTCCAGCAGCCATCTAGTACAGGCCCTGTGTGCATCTGCTGAGCCTTTGGAATTGTCTGTCCATTATCCTGAACTTCCCAGCAGCGAACCTGTAACAGGAGAAGTGTATACAAACATAACGTTAACACTAAGAACTCCTAAGACTTCTTTTCTTCAAGACCCCTGCCTCAGTTTATCCAACAAAAAGTATGACTGTAAGCACTGAGCTTTCAAAACTAGTGAAACCTGATTTTCTGATTATGTTCCTTTCACCCGTACAGCCACAGCTCAACCCCACAATGTCAACCCCACCTCAAAAGTGCCTTACAATCACGTAACACCTTCCAGTGCTCTCCTGGAGAACGCTGGACTGCCAACAAGGAAGCAGCTGCCTGCTGCAGGCTACTGGCCAACAGACCAGACAGAGCAGTTAAAAAACGCGCTCATGCTTGTCTTCCCTCCCTGTTTCTGCCAATTGGGATCTCACCCTTCAATCCAAACAAACTCCAATAAGGCTGTAGGAACTTAATCTTTTTGAGACTACAGTGTCAAACTAGCTGATTTAACACGGTGTTCATGGTTCTTTCACTGGGGAAAGCCTAATTACGTTAGCCTAATTGTATAGAAAAACAAAGCTAAAAAACAAACAAGTAGGAAAAATGCAGGTAATAAAAATCTGACAGAGAAATCATTGACTACATATTCGGAGCTGAAGCTTAAAACACACATGCAGGGGAACGACTTATCTGAAGACCACAACTGAATTTCTCAGCTGAAACATCTCAACTATGTCAAACTTACTGCCTGGGCACCTTTACGGTTCTGCAAAAAGGAAGATTGTCAGGTGCCCTGGAACAAGCTTTTAGGATCACATTTTGCAGTTTAGGCAACAATGCTCCCACTTTATTCATCTGCAGGTCTGACTGTGAGTACTTACATCATTTGCCCATGAACCTGCAATGAGGAAATTACCCGGCAATGTTGGCGGACTAAATGCTAAACAAGATATGCTGTCATCAGGTGGAGATGTTACTTCAATATCCTATAAAGGACAGAAAACAAAACAAAATTAACCACATTTGAAAACTGCGCACTGAGATACTACTACTTCTATAGGGTGAGTTTGTAGGTACTGCTGTGACACACAAACCACAGCAGAACAGTCGTTCCCACGGGGGCTAACGCACGTACCTTCATTGGATTATGGTTATCTGCAGTTGTACTGCCAAACATGCCAGTACCTCCAGTACCAAACCCTGACGTTGATCCAAACAGGCTCATCCTTGCCCTGCAAACAAGGAAAAGGCTTACTGAGGCCTGCAAGGCCCTCAAGCATCCCTAGGGTGTCTCACTGCAGCCACTACACCAGCACACACCTCACCCCCTGCCCGGGAGGCACCCAAGGATATAAAAAAAAATAATAAATAAATAAATAAAACCCCGCAGTTCTCGTTGCAATGGACCCCTGACACTTGTCGGTCGGCCATCCTGGCACCACGGTCTGGAATCCCTCTCCGGACGTCACCTGGCAAGAGCTAACGCGCCCCCCC